CCTTTGGATTTTCACCGTCATATCTCAGGTGTGGGTTTTGTCTGCTCCCTGTTCCTCCTAGTAGAGTCTCCCTGTGAAATGCAGGCTCAGGTTCTTTGCTTCTACCTCCAGTCTGTGGGCTCCAAGAGTCCTCCAGAAACAGCCTCAACTACTTCCAAGGAAAAGGACAATCTGCCTTGGAGGGTCTGAGCCACTTACTTGCTTTCTGAAGGAGCATAGCACACACCAAAAAAAAAAAAAGAGAAACAAATAGATGCTCTCCATTGCTCCCTGCAATCCCTTGGCGACAATTTGCATTGTGGTCCAATATAAATAATCCTTGCAGTTCCCTATTCTTCATGCACACAAAGAGTTTTTTTTAAACAAATAAAATTGCTGTGTCTTCTGCCTTCCAGTAAAACCATATAAGAAAAATTCTTAGAGATCAGAAATAATGACTATTTATTGAGAGAGTTTGAAATTAACATTTTCCCCCTACTCTCTGCTGATGATAATTTATATAATAAACTGGCTGAGTTGTATTGTCTTACTATCATCATATGCATCTGATAAATTCTTTTTTACTTCTCACTTGGACTGTAATCTTTTGAAAAGACAACATACCCCTGAAAGCAAACAAATGTAGTAAAGCTTAAAATAAAAATTGACCTCATTTTGAATATTTAAGTGTTCTATTCTTGAATCAAATATGCTGTAAACAACTGCTAGTCTTTCAGGATATTATTGTCATGCATGGTCTTTGAGAGACATGAAGGAAAGAAAATTTAGTAGGACCTAGAGGTAGAGCAACCTGAAGGGTTTCAATCCATTTGCCTTGAAATTTGTTTTCATTAAATAGAAGAGTTACTGCAACTTTGCACAGCATTATCTTTACAAACTGAATTGTTTGGAACTGGAGATTAAGTTGGCCAGGGAGTGGGGAGGAAGAATCCATTCACACAGCTGGGAAAAAGTCTCAGATGCTTTTTCCCAGCCTGTAATTTTTATTAAAGTAGTTTCATCTTTGACAAAGGGTCATTTCACCAAAATTAGTTTTGACAGGCTCTTAGTAATAGCACTTACAGTTACACTGAAGTGCATCATTTCCAGTGAAAGTCTCTCTGATTGCAGCACATGCAAGTTATTGGTACAGCACCCTGCATCTCCCAGGAGAGCCATCGCCCTCCAGCTTGATGGCAACCTTTGTAGGATGAGGAAAGAACCACGGAGAGGTGCACCTCAAATAGGATTTCTGTTCTCCAGGCAATCCTGGTTTTCACTACTACCTATAATCTCACCCATTGCAAGCCTCAGTCAAGCACCATATACAGTAGGATAAATGAGTGATGGGAAGACATGCAGGATGGGGTAGTGGGAGGGATTGGGGGAATGGTTCTGAGTACAGGATCCACTGTAAGCAGTAAGCTGGCGTTAACTGGAATAGCACATAGGATTGCCAGAGCTCAGGACAGGCAAGAAGGATGGATGGAGTTAGAAAAAGAGGACTCACAAAAGCAGTTTATCAGGGAGCAACAGGAGGACTGCAATAACACAGGAAATAATAAAAATAAAGAATGAAGAAACGTGGGTTTAAATAGAGAATAAAGCTGGAATGAACTATTCTGAGTAGGAAAATGGACTTTTCAGATAGGTTAGATGGGCATAGAAAGTTTATGTCAAAGCACAAAACCTAATAATTTTTATTTTGGTTTATACTACTTCCAAAGCTTCCTTGAAAACATCTTTCTCTGTCCCAAAGCCCACACGGCCATGAAATGAGAAATTATGCAAGATGACTCCTCATGTTGGTTCAGTAGGTGTTCTTTTTGATGCTGGGGCTGCTACAGATCCTGCCAATGCAAGCATGTGATTCCAAAGTTCAGGCTGCTGCCTTTAATTCTTTTGCTTTCATCCTACCATTTCCTTCAGTGAAAAAAAAAATCAAAAATGGAAAAAAACTTCGAAAATTATAATCTCATGTGAGTCAAATGGTTTTGCTAGACCATGAGCTCTCTTAAGAGAGCCAAGAAATAGAGAGTTAGTGGCAGCTTTCCTAATGATCTTCAAGTACAACAACATGATGTCTTGGATATTGCATCATTAAGAGTTGCAAGTTTTAAATCAGATTTAAAAGTGCCTCAGTCTTCATTCTACTGTAACGTAGTGTGGAGAATCCCCTTCAGGAACCACCAGGGCTCAGATCCTGTCTTGTCAGTGATTGCAGTTGAACTAAGTGCTACCAAATTTTGAAAATTGTTTGACACTTTATGATAGTCCAAACCAGGCAGGTGGCTATCAGCTCTCCATGTGGGCTGCCAGAGTGGAATATTAAACTAACCTGAGCATTTATTTCTGATCCGCTCTTGTCAAAATTGATTTGTGTGTGAAACTTCTCAGTTCTCAGTCTGTGTGTGTAATACATTTCTCCACACAAGTTCCTTGAATGATCTGCTAAAGAAACCACCGTGGGGATTTCTTCAGAGTCAGGGAGAACAGCATGAATTCTCACTTTCTGGAGAAACTTGGCCAAATCCCCGAGATCATTACAGTATTTGTGAATCCAAATAAAGGATGCAGAGAACTTCATGTCAGATGCTATCTGTTCAGCCTCAGGGATCAGGAAAGGATAGCCTACCCAATAGTAGGGAGAATAGGGGCTAGTATAGCTGTCCAGTCTTTTTATTACTTTTCTGAAAATTAGCACTTGACAGTGTTATGATACAGACTATGTGACCAGTCAAATTAAGTATTTCAATGCAATTTGAAGGTGAAATGATTTGGTTTATTTCCTCTTTGAATTTTGAGACCTTTTCCCTGGAAAGTCAGGGATTACATTTTGGGTGTAAAGCCCTCTGTTCCTAGCAACACAAATACAATTTTATTCATGTTTACTAAGGAAAAAACAATATATAGCATGTGATTCAGTTTCAGTTTGAAGCTTCAGATGGAATTAATACAGTTTGATATTAGACCTCTTCCTTTCTGGAGTAATTCTATGTAATTCTTAATAAACCAGATAATTCTTGCAACTTGAGTTTCTGACATGGGATGTAATCTTCATTAAATGCATGTAAACCTCGTAAGCACTCTCTCCAAAATGGTGCACCAGGGACTCATTTCAGCCTTCCACTCATCCACATACAGCATTATTCTGATCCAGGAGACAGCATGTTATCCTTGACGAAGAGTTAAGAAAGGGTTGCCAGTTCAAATACAGATCTATTAAAATAATATTTATGGGTGGTTGAATCTGATGAAGAAAAGTTTTCTTACTTTCTTTCTTTGGTTCTTACAGCCATCTCTGGATAAATGGCAGGAAATTAGAAATGGTTGCAGTGTACAACTCTACAAGACACCAATACCATACCTACAGAATAAATCACAGCAGATCCACTTATTTTTTTCCATTGAACACATGGAAAAAAAGGAATGATTTGTTGCTTCTAATGCTATTCTTTGTGTTACTGTGGACCAAAAGGAGCCCACAGACCACTGTTCTGCATTATGCAAATGTAGTAAAACTTATAACATTTTCTGAAAAGGTTGTAATGCTAGAGTGAGGTAAATACAAAGCGGAGGAATTATCATTATCATGTTTACACAGCTTGGATTCTGAACCTACACAATTCTTCAGAGGCCACATAAGACGTGCGTGTCAAAGCCACAAAGTAAAACAGGTTTTTCTGAGTCCTGTACAAAAGCCTTACTAACAAGGTCAATCTTCCACGTTTTCTCTGGTTTTCAGCAACAGATGATGGCTTGTAAGTACTGACAGAGTGTGCAGTTTACAACTCACAATTTTCCTGACTAACACTTAATAAAGAAAGATGATGCCTACAAAAGGTCAGCCAAAAAAATAAATAAGTAAAGCATGTGATGACAGAAATAATTACTGGAGACAGAGAACTCTGGCACTGGACAGAAAATTCTGCCAGTAAATCATCCCATTAATACAAATACACATGTCATACTTTGATAAAGTTTCTGTGTGTAGGAATAAGTTTATTCCAAAACATAAATTGTTCAAACAAATTATTAACTTAGGTATAAGGAGAAAGCCAACTGGATGCACAATTAAATGTGAAGGATTTTTTTTTGGTTTTAAGAGTAAATTCTCAGGTGGGGAAAATCTCTTATGGAAGTACTAGTTAAACTAGACTGTCCCAGTCAACCAACAGATCATCTGATATGAAAAAGTGGTATATGGGTGAAGACAGATTTATGAATTTCATTTATACACTAAATAAGCAATACTTCAACATATTCTGTGACAGCTTCTGCTTTCATTCAGAGATCCCCATCTTCTCATCCCTTTGAGGCTCCTTTCACTTCATCACCTCTGGGATATACGTGAACAAGTAGTACAGAACAGACAGTACCTACAAAGTGAAGCACAACAACCTTCAGTAATTTTCTCCAGGAAAATGAAAGGGACCAGGCTAAAAGAAACTTGAAAAAATGAGACAGGTTCAGACAGCAACCATAGTCTTCTTCTGGTCAGCTGATTACAGGAGATACTAGTAATATAAATAGCACCTTCCCAGAAAATTAACAATGTATAAGGCACTGTTTTGCACAAGTCAGTAACAGCCTAAGACAGAGAGTTTTGCTGCCTCTTTTACACAAACTCCGCTTGAGGTGTTTCTGATCCCTTTCAGTCTGCCATTGGTATTTTTGATTTTTTTTTTTTCTCATTGTGCTCCATTTGTGCCTGTCTAACACATCTGAACCGATTCAGCTAACATTTTAGCACCTAGACAAGGCATAATCAAACACAGACCTACAGGGTCTTTCTAAATTTACCGAGGCCTGACTATCTGGCATCAATTCACTCAAAACCAAATTCATAATGACTAACATGAAACTAGAAAGCTGAGAAGACACAAATAATGTACAATCAGAGAAACTGAGTTCAAAATGCTGGCATGACACAGCTCAGCTGCAGTTTCCAAATAGTGACACTATTGTGACTTGCTGGGGCTCTCAGAGAGGATCCCTTCTTTCCTTCCAGCTTCTTTTGTATCCTCTATGCAGGAGTGGTGCTTGAGCAAATGAAGGTGGAAACACAATTGCATCCACTGGCTGCTTCCTACTGTCTCCGTAAAACGCAGGCAATTTCTCCACAGACTTTAAAGTGAGCGGCCAACCAAGTCCACAGGCACACAAAGAAGGAGAGAAAACAAGTCTCAGATATTATGAGGCTTTCTATTTCCAGAAAGGCAAGTGTTTAATCTATTTTTTGCATGCTTATTATACAAAAGAAGCAGATTTCAAATCTTGTACCACAGCAGGGTACTCAAATACCAAGACAGGTTTTTCTAGTACATAATGAAGAGAACTTGGATGGCACTTTAATTTGCTTCATTCTTTGTGTAAACATTCGGCTGTAAAGGGGCCAGTCTGCAGCAATTAATTACAAATGGACAAAACAGGTTGTTTCTTTAGGACAAGGTTCTTCGTACAGTTTATAAATCATTTATGTTTGGACCCTTTAATTCAAACATTGTCAGTAGAGTGTGACCCTACTACAGTGAGTATTGCCAGAAGTGACACTAAGGACACTCACCTTAGGATTCACTTTATTTGTTTACCTGAGGTGAGACAGAGGAGGACAAAGATTCTCTGTTGATAAGCTTGAGCTCTGCCTGTAGGATCCTGTGTCTTAAAACTCTGTGGTTCCTTTTTAGCTGCCATCTGAGGGCGAAGATAAAGCTTGACATTTGGCTTTAGGCTACAACAAACTTGGATTTTATTTGCTTAGTGTGGAAAGTACATTTAAGAGTTTGCTACATCTCTCATTTTCCTAACTCTACCCCATCTTTTGCTGAAACACTTTTCCAACAGAGACGTCCAAAGAAAGCAATATATTTATATGATTTAAAATTATTCTTAAACTATATATCACAACAATGGAATACTCATTTTCATAATTATTTTATTGTGTGCTCAATCTTCATGTAATAACAGCTCATTCTAAAATCAAATGCTGTGTCATACATTTCAAATTTTACAGATTATGTGATGGTAGTTCTGAAGGCATGCCAACCCTCTTCGTTTTTCGAAACATTGAAATTTTTTGCCATTTTTTAAAATAAAAAGAGAGGTAATATCACACTCCTCAGCTAAACTAGCTCTCAAAAGAACAAAGGTAAAAACAAAATCATTGTTATTTCTACTTATGCCTATTGCTTTGGTTTGATATATTACTGTTTTACATCATAAAATTTATTTTGCCAGTGAAATTAGAAAGAAAATAAATAGATAGAAAATAAATAATAAACAAAACCAATACATAAAAGCAAATGAAACAAATAAAAGAAATATTATGTAAATCAAATACTATTTTAAAGTTATGATAATACATGCTCCAATTCATCTTTGTGACCCTTTGCTGGGTGTACTATAGTATGTCCATGCCCTTCTTGCACTGAGGAGCCCAAAACCAGGCACAGCATACCAGATACTCTCAGGCACACGTTGTTGCTCTTGTGGATGGTCCTGTGCAGTGCTAATGGTTGGATTCAATGATCCTTATGAGTCCCTTCCAACTCAGCTTATTCTGTGATTCTGTGATCTGTCTTACCAGTGCTGATTACCTTCCTTAACCTGCTGGAAACAGCTTTCTTAATATAGCCTGTGTGACACAGGCACACTGTTGGCTCATTTCAAACTTCTTCTCCATCAGGATCCCCAGGCCTTTGTCTGCAGAGCTTCTCACCAGCCACTTGGCCCTGAGCTTATGCTGGTGCATAGGGTTGTTTCTCCTGCTGTCCAGGACTTTGTATTTCCTGTTGTTAAACTTCATAAGTCTATTCCTCGTCATGTGCAGGACTCAGCATTCTCCTTTGCTAAATTTCATGAGACTCCTTCTGGCTACATGATCCAGCCTGTCAGGCTGCCTGTAAAAGGCAACACATTCAGCTTGTTAGCTAACCACTAACCTCCCTGGCCTGGTTCTGCATTATCCATCAATGTGCTGAGAGTGCATTGCCCCATGTGCAGGTCATTCATGGTGGTAGCATGATCAGACCCAGTACTGGCCCCTGAGGCACACCACTAGTGGCTGGCCTCCAGGTGGGCTTTGTGCTCCTGCTGACAACAGTCTGAGCACAGCAGTTCAGCAAGTTTTCAATCCCTATACAACTGTCTATCCTTATACTTCATCAGCTTGTCCAAGAGGGATGTTATAGGAGGCAATGTTGAAAGCCTTTCTAAACTCAAGATAAACAACATCCACTGCTCTCCCCTCATCTGCCAAGCCAGTCTTCAAATTGTGTTAGGCTGTCAGACACTATTTCCCCTTCATAAATCTATGCTGACTACTCACTAACACCTTCAGAGTGTCATTATAGTCCTTTCGATGTTCGTAAGAACCCATATCTCTGCCTGTAACTGCAGTCACAGGTTCTCTGCTTCTTTCCAGTGTGATGTTTCCCTGTAAACTTTTTTAGATAATACGACAATTTGCAAATAAATCTGGGGATAAATAGGAATTTTTCAAGCAAGTATCCAATACAAGAAATAAGTTCGCAAGTGTTGATGTGCTGATAGCAGGCTGTCACATAATTTTTTGTCATACATCTTTTTCATCTTACTAGCAAAACAAGCTTTTATCCCTTCCATTGCAAAAACTTCACTTGTATTGATTCAATGTACTTACTATTTCCCCATTTGCAGTGGAGTAAAAGGGGCGATTTCTGAACCATTGTCCACACTCTCTTGTTAATGTTTTCTGTTTAGCAAGAGATGATAACAGTTGATTATTCTCCAACAAGTACTATTATTTAAGCAGAGAAAATGTATGATTAGGTGGTAATAACACAAGTACATATTAAGAATGGATGCTACAAAATTTAGAGTAATATTGAGAGAAAAGAGTCGGAAGTCAGGAGATACGATAGACACTAAGAAAAACTGTTCCCTAAGAATAAGCAATACTTTTAAGACAGATTCTTTGCATAAATCAAGTCATTGCAGAGATGTTTGAATATTAAAATTATAGAAGTTGAATAATATATAATGAGATCTTCAGTCATGAACCTTTCTTCTCATTGGTAAGACAAGAAAGAAAGCACACATAATAAGTACTGTAGACACACTGAAATATTACACTCTCATAAATTGCTTTACTTCTTTTTTACTAACTAAATAACATACCTAAAAAACACACATTTTCTTTATATTCAAAAATGTTTCAAAGGCTTAGAATTATGCTCTGTCTAAAATAGCACCTATACCCTGCCCAGTCTAATATACGCAAGGTTCATTCTGCATCCGGTCTTGTACAATTTTTACAGTATTTATTTCATGCCTGAGAAGAGGCAGAACACCACAAACTACAAGAAAGCATCTCCTCTCACCCTTTCTATTGATTTTATGTACGTTGTAGAGTAGATATGCCCACAGCAGTTCTGATCAAGGCCTGATCTAGAGAGCAATTGCTGCTTGCCTGCAAACCTTGAAATAAATCCATCCAGCAAAGAGGACAAAATTCCAAGAGGCTAAAAGAACATCTAATGGAAGTGAAACACTGCTTCATGTCATTTCAGTTCCAAAGGGAACCTGGAAGCCTTGCATTATTGCAGCCTGTGGGTGACCTACTGAGGGGTGAAGAGGCTGGTAGCCAAACCGGTCAGAAAGAAGGCAGAAAGATATTTAATATTCTTTGAAAACTTTATCAGTGTTGCCACATTTCCACAGGGTGTTTCTCCTTCAGTGCGTCAACACTCTGTGGTAGAAAAGTGTCTGTATGGAAAATTGCTGCTGATCCTAAGGCAGGTGACTCTGACTGCATTTAGATCTGCTCTTTTTCCCTGATGCTTGCTGATTTCAAAAGGGTTTGTTTGGGGTTCCCATTTTTATATGTACACAGTATTTTAACAGTATATAACTGTGATATATGTAAAATATATATTTTTTGCTATAGCTTTGCTATTTCATTTTTTTTTCCTTTGGGAAGGAGGTTTTTTGCTGTAGTCTGGGGGACTTGCCGGGGAACCAGGTCCAATCCAACACAGAGACCTCCAGAGAAGGAGGTTTTTCAACCAAGAATTCCCAACGCTACCTTACTCTTACTGTGGAAAAATTGCTGTTGGAAAGGGAACAACTAATTTAAACAGCTTTGAGTGGTTCTAGAAGAACATACTGTAAGATAATATCTTCTGAATGGTAAAGAAAAAGCCTCGCTATAAAGTAATATTTCACTGAACTGTAGCTACAAATATAAAATAATTACATTCAAATATAACATTAAATTAAATTAATTCATACTATTTTCTTTATAAAACGAAATCAAACTGATTTCACAGTTCACTCTGACTACAATTTAAAATAGTTATGTGTATTTCCTTTTGAAGTCAATGGAGCCTATTGTTTTCTGGTTAATACACACTTTTAGCAGAAATGTCATAAAAAATCTGCACTTATCCATTTAAATCTGAGAATATTTTTTCTAAGCTAAATTTGCTGTAGGTACAAATTAATCAGTCAGTGTTTCGATTTTATTATTTATCTGCATTAAAAACTCCCACGGCATGTAACTTGACTGTCTGACAGAAAAATAGGCTGTTCAGGCTAGATAAAGTAACATGGTACAAGGATAGAGATCATTATCTCAACCATTTTAAATTGAATAGTGCTAACATTTAGCATGCAAGCTGAAAAAACAAAGACCTGACTGCCAATATTTGTTAATCATTTTAACTCACTAAATCCCTTGTGCATTGGGAGAAATACAGAACAAAATTAAAGTGCACATTTAAACGTACAATAATTTAAAGACCAAGGGGTGAACTTGCAAAAAAGGACTATGAACTATATTTCTATGTAACTCGTAATGGAAATGGACTCCAAGAGTAAAAGAATAAAAAGGACTTGATAAGAAAAGCAGGTCCTGTAGTTGTTGAAAACCAGCAATGCTTCTTATTTCCTCTCTTCGGGAGTTAGACCCTTGAAAACCCTGACAGAATTGTGTCAGTCAGGCTTGACCAGTTCCCCCTCGGCAGTGATAACAGCTGATAAGAAATATGCTCAGTCATACATATTCTCTCTACACCTACATTAACTTTTAAAGCATATGAATGTGTACAGATAACTGCTTTGGATTTAGCCCTACATGTTTAGGCATGAGTACTTCAGAGAATAATCAAAGGGTTTAGGTTGAAAGGAACTATGACTGTCATTTAAGCCCTTCCTCTGAGGCTAACTTCAAAAACTAGATTAGGTTGCTTAAGGTTCAATTCAGGCGTATTCCAGGAATCGCTAACAACAGAGATTCCACCCCTTCTCTCACACCTGATTCAATGCAGCATTTGAGGTGCACCACACACAGTAACAGTTTTTCTTGCCCACACAGAATCACAGAATGCGGCTGTAACAGATCTTTGTCCACTAGCTTGCAAACTTCTCTCACACCAGCATTTCATAGTTCTGATTGAATATAATGTTCCAGAAAAGCAAGAGAAACAGCAGCACTTGAGACAGTGAAATGGAAATTTGGAAAATTATACATAAGAACCATGACCTCTCTCATGCAGAGTAAGTTTTAGCCTGTGCCCAAGGAGTACGTCCAACTGGAAACTATACAGAATTCAAAGCATAGAATGGTTTAGATTTGAAGGGATCTTAAACATCATCTAATTCCAACTTCCCCACCATGGACAGGAATACCTTCCACTAGACCAAGTTGTTCCAAGCCCCATACCTCCTGGGCCTTGAACACTTCCAGGGATGGGGCATCCGCAGCTTCTCTGGGCAACATGTTCCAGCGCCTCACCACCCTCACAGTAAAGAATTTCTTCCTAATACCTAATCTAAATCCACACTCTTTCAGTTTAAAGTCATTGTCTCTTGTCCTGCCACTACATTCCCTTGTAAAACATCCTTCTCCAGCTTTCTTGTAGACCCCTGCAGGTACTGGAAGGCTGCTATAAGGTGTATCTTAGAGCCTTCTCGTCTCCATGCTGAACAATCCCAACTCTCTCAGCCTGTCTTCATAGAACAGGTGCTCCATCCCTCTGATCACCTTTGTGACCTTCCTCTTTACTTGGTCCAACAGGTCAATGTCCTTCCTGTGCTGAGGACCCCAGAGCTGGGTGCAGCACTCCAGGTGAGGTCTCACTAGAGCAGAGTAGAGGGGCTGAATCACCACCTTTGATCTGCTGGCCACACTGCTTTTGATGCAGCCCAGGACACATTTGGCTTTCTGGGCTGTGAGCGCACATTAATGGCTCATGTTGAGCTTCTTATCCACCAGCACACCCAAGTCCTTCTCTTGAGGGCTGCTCTTTTAATTAACTTTCTCTGCCCAGGCTGTATTTGTGCTTAAAACTGATTTGTGATAAAACTGATGGTTTTCAGCAAGAATAAATCTGTATGATCCAGCAAAGCATAGCTGCAGACACCCAAGCAGCGTATCTCAGACATTTCATTGCAAATATGAGCTGATATCTCTCCTGCAGGGCAAGATTCATCTATGTAGTGCCATGCTTGAGCTCAGATAACACTATATTTTTTGGCAGCTTAGTCAGCCCGGTAGCCCAACACTGCACAACTGAACATATCTACCTGTGGTGCAAAAAGACATCTCATGTTGATAGTCCAGTCTATGTGAAACAGGAGATCACAGTTCAAATGAAGCCCCAGGAATACAAGGGGCATCAAAATAAGAAAATGGACAGGACTGCTGACGGGATGAAGAAGAAAAAGATCTGGGCCTCAAGCCCATGACTATCACCCCTAGACCCATATAGCCATGCTTGATATGTTCCAGATATGCCCCGGCAGCATCACTGGTGACCTCATGGGACAACAGCAGGAATTAATAGTCTGAGGACTGGATAAGCCTTGGGAGTCTCTTCACACTCTCCTGAACTGGAGCTCCTGACAAGCAGCAAACTGACCCAAGGGGCATGTCAAGTCTGCAATTGGGGTCCTTCATTCATTTCAGTAAAGACTGTTCCTCCCACTTGCCACTTTCTCCTGGTGCTGCCACATGTCTGAGGTTCAGCTGATTTGGATGCTTCATTAGACAGAGGTCCCAGCCCCTTGTCTGCTACCAGAGCTCTGAATTGATCCAATGCTGCAAATCTTCAGGTGGAATAGGAGCCTTCCCCTGGTGCCACAAATCACAGCTGGCTTTAGCCACTCTGGGAGTCTTCACTTCCAAATCTGATAGGTAAAATCTCTGCCAGTCTCTCCTTCAGTGCAGCAGGGAAGTTGGGCTCTTGAGCCTCTGGAGTTTCAGAGGTCTCATTAATCTCTTTCTCCTCACTTTCGATGCTGCATGCTCTTATGTTTGTTCTCTATGATGCTGCATCCGCAACAAGTGCACATCTCCTACCCCCTTTGAGACTGTCTCTCACTGCCCAGGCCCAGTGAGGGGCCCCAGATATGCCCTGCAGCCTGAGACCTGCAGAGAAGCATCCTCCTTCCAGAGGAAAGTAAAAACACCGATCTGTATATGTAAGCTTTAGTGGTTATTCCAGCATTTTGTAACTGATACTTCAATTTAGAGAACAAATTAACTGCAACTTTTTTGCCACTACAGAGAAGCTTTTGTGGTCAGGAGGATCAGTGCAGGGATAAAGTAAGATACCTTCCCAGGATAGAAAAGGAGCACCCAGATGGGTGAAGCAATAATCCCGTGCCAGTTTCCATCCCAGACCTGAAGGAATTGGTCAATAACCTCCACTTGACAACAACATTCAACTTAAATTTTCCTTCATTATATTGTAAAGATTTCCAGTCACTTTGCAAGCAGAAAGGCTGTTTCATGCAGACTTTGCAAAATAACCCGAAAACAATAAATAGAGATTATACTGCAATAAGTTTGCAGATGGCATGGAATTGGGCTCGTTATTAACTGAGAGCATGATATGCTGAGTTAAATATTGGAAAATTCTCCCTTTCTGGAGAAAACTGAACAAACAGAATGAAATGTTGTGATGGAGCAATCTCCCCTTGAGTAATATGTGGTTATCTATGGCTGCAGCAAGAACAGACACAACATCTATCAGATTTGTCAATTCAGTAGAGCTGATAACACAGAATACTAAACCTAAACACACTTATCGTAAAGGCTGCTGATAATCACTGAGAGCAGCAAGTTCACACTTGAGATCAGTACAAAACAGTAGGCTTATCACAAAATTTTAATCCAGAAAATTGGCTGGTAAATTCTTGTTAAACAAAAGAGGAAATTCCCATAATCCATTCCTGTAAATTAGTATCTGCAATCTATATCACAAACATCAATGTAATATTGTCATTGCAGTAATCACCTAAAAATTGTCTTTGAAGATGTCTTAAGACCACTCCAAACCACACCTGTAAAAACTTTCCTTCTTGGATATCTTATTATTTACTTTACTCAGTTCTCATGTTTCTCTGCAGTATGTAAAAATTCTGAAATCAAAAAGATATCACAAGTTGAAAGCACACAGTCCGTATTATTCCATTGCTAGGAGTATGATAATGCAAAATTGAAAGATGTTTTTTGATGAATTATCATATGCATGGTTAGCATGGAAATGGAAGAAGTAGCAGACTGTCAGCACGTGGGCAATCAGATTTGTTACAGCTGTTTGTGTCCAAAGATTTCCTGAAGAGCTGTTTTGTGAAATGGGCCTGACTCAGGTGGCACACAGTTGCCAATATGTCTTACCAAAGAGAAGAGAAAAAAGTTCTGCTTTACCTCTAGAACATAAGTTAAGTGATATGAACAAGACAGTCTTCAAATAGTAATTCTAAGTAGCAGAAAACTCCTAGAAGCAATGACAAGCTTAAGACTTACAGGCTGAAGCCTTGACCTTCGAGTAGAAATTAGGACTCAGGTG